CCATGTTTGCGAGAGCCAGATACTGGAGACAAGCTAAAGTTCGACAATGGTGTGATGATGAAGAGGGAGTGGTGTGTCCATGTAATGGACTACTGCTCAGTAATAGAAAGAAATGACCTGCAGAGACAATCAGAAATGTGGATGAATCTCAAATTAATTAAGCCCGATTCTCCCCTCCCTGCAAAAGCACATATTATACAATTCCATTTATGTTCAATTCTATGAAACACTAACTAATGTAGAGTGACCAAAAGCAGAGTTCTGGTTTTATGAGGAGGTGTTGTGGTAGATTGTAACTGGGAGGTTCATGGATATGTTCACATCTCGATTGTGCTGAAGGTTTCAGGGGCTTATTTGATTTTTATATATGTAAAATCAATAATTATTGTAACATCAAATGATACACTTTAAACCTGTGTAGGTTTTTGTATGTCATATCAATGTCTACAATAATTCCCTATCTGAGGTGTGGAAAGGAGAACTTTATTCAGATGAACAGTTTGCAAAGAGAGGAAATGCAGCTTCGGTTGAACACTGAGAATATGTGCCACTAAGACAAGGGGGGAGAGCACCTTTTATGGAGAAAGGTCCCACCCTGGTTCCCAACTGATACATTTTTATGCAAATGAGGAATCTGAATCTACAGTCCTGGTTGGTTAGCATTGTGTCTTCAGATTGGTCAGTATAGGTGCAAAGGAGAATATAGTTGTCCAGTTTTGATACAATAGTACAGGGCAGGTCTCAGTTCATTGGTGGAAAAACGAAACCTGGGTTCCACAAATAAGGGTTGAGTCAGGTGGCACAAACGCGGCGCAGGATGCTGACAGCTCAGCTTGGGACTTCCCCTGAAATGCAGAGTGGGAGAGTCCCCAGCAACAGTGATAGACTCTGGTTATGAATTTGTGCCCAGTTAAACATGAACAGTCCTTTATGGTAAATATATTTCTTTCAGAGTTCACACCAATAAAGCTGTTTTTTAAAAAAAGGTATGGAGAAACACAGCTGCCAGTGTGATATTGTAAATTGTTCATGTTTTGCCATCAGGAAAAGCTGGGCTAGTGTTCTTGGACAAGTCACTTAGGACTCTGGGCTGTAGAAATAATACCGCCCTCTCAGGGTTTAAGAAATAGTGGAAACTTAGGGTTTTATGAGGCAATAGTGGGAACTTGGCTAGGCGTTCAGTTTTTTTGTGATATGCAAGGCGGAAGGGAAGCAGGAAGCCTGCAATCAACTTCAAGCTCTAGTGCATTTTGAATCTGTGACTATAAGCAAGTTCCTTAACTTTTCTGTGTCATTGTCTCAGTTGTAGAGGGATCGAAAGACACAACGTATGTAACTAGTGCAGTGCCAGGTACGTGTGAGGAGACGAGCATCCTAGTGTTCTAGGAAAGAGCAGGGGGCGGTAGACGGACTCCTCTGGGGACACTCCGGCTGGTTGCCGAAATCCGAAATCCAAAATCCGAAATCCGAAGCAGGGAGACTGAGGAGCGCAGCAGGGGTGTCCAGGATTGAGGGCTGGGGAGGCTGGGAGGCTTAGAGAGCCGGAATGGGAGTGGCAGCAAAACCAACACTCAGAGAAGCTCCAGCCAACGTGCCCCTAGGTGGGCAGAGGGGGCTCCGCCCGAGGCTCAGTGGGCGTGCCTCAGTCCCGGATCCTTCGGGCCTGCTGACCCTGCCCCGCGCCCTGCCTGCCTCGGGGAGCCAGCAGCTCAGGGCCGCCTTAATCCTCCCCAGGTCCCTCTTCTTATTAGGTCCAAGCCTTCAAGTCCCATCGGTAGTGGGACAGCTACTCCGGTGGTGCTTCCACTGTTCTCCCGCCAGCTTAAGGTGCCCTATGGTAAAACATATGCAACACCTGGGTGGTTTGCTTCTTCCTGGGAGGGGAGTTGTAGGTTTAAATATAGTTGTTCCTTTTGGAGATTGTGAAAGATAACCTATTTAAAAATTTAAACAGAGTCCCCAGTCGCATCTGGAAATGAAAGAGAGGTCTCAGGGAGCAGCTCATTTAGACCCGTGTGATAAAGGTATATAGATCGCTGCAAAAATGTATGTTTTCATATTTTTTCTTCAGGCAAAACAAAATAAAATATATTCTTATTATTGTTCTACTACTCAGTTTGCTCTGTGAAGGTCACCTTAAAATGTACAATGTCAGTGCCAATACAGTTGGTGAGCGTGTGAGGAAACCAAGGTGCGGTGGAGCACAGGCACCTTGCAGGCATTTGACACTTAAGTGTGTGGCAGAGCCAAGGTCAGGGTCTCAAAATTTGGACTCCAGAGCTTATTTTCTTCTTGACCATTCAGCATTGCCTCCAGACTAGTTTCTTGTCAAATTGTGGCTAAATATTTACCTCATTTGCTTAAAAAATCTGGAACCTGGATCCTGGATAATAATTTGTTTCACTGGTATATGGGGAAAAAGTTATCCAGGGTAACCTGGTATGTTCCATTCATATCTGAATTTAAAAGACCTTAGTTAGGAAATTATTTTACTTGAGATCAAGTTATAAAAAACTTACTTATGATTCAAAACATTGTAATTTCACTTTTGTCTTAAAGTAGTCAAATCTGTGAGGATACTTGCAACTTTTGTTCGACTTTAGCATTATAGCTTCTCCCTATCAATCCTTTGGGCTGGCCCAGACCCTTCCCTAGGGGCACCACTGCTCCTGCTAGCCTGCTGAACGGCCATCAGACTTTTCTTGATGCCTGCCAGGCTGCTGAGTTTTGCTTCCCCACTCTGGCAACTTCTGAACACTTTAGAAACAAAAATAAAAACTCTTGATAGATGATAAACCAAAGCACAAATTTCCCTTATGAAGTAATACTACAGCTTTTCTGCCATGTAGGCCAAATGTTTTTGTTTTTTTAATTTTTTAAATTTGGTTATTGTTTAAGTACAGTTTTCTGTCTTTTACTCCCATCCCAGTCCCCGCCCCCGCCCGTGCTTCCTCCCTCCCTCCCATTCCATCCCTCTTAGTTGTTGTCCACGTGACCTTTATACTACTTGTTGTAAATCCTTCCCCTTTTCCCCTGAAATTCCCTCCCCTCTCCCCTCTGGTCACTGTCTTCCCCCTCCCCCCTTCTCTATTTCAGTGTCTTTGTTTTTTATTTTGCTCGCTTGTTTGTTTTGTTGTTTAGCTTCCTGTTAAAGGTGAGATCATATGGTATTTGTCTTTTAACACCTGGCCTATTTCACTCAGCATAATGCTTTCCAGTTCCATCCATGTTGTTGCAAAGGGTAGGAGCTCCTTCTTTCTTTCTGCTGCATAGAATTCCATTGTGTATATGTACCATAATTTTTTGATCCATTCATTTGCTGATGGGCACCTAGGTTGCTTCCAGCTCTTGGCTATAGTAAATTGTGCTGCTATGAATATTGGGGTGCATAGATTCTTTTGGATTGGTGTTGTAGGGTTCTTAGGATATAATCCTAGCAGTGGAATTGCTGGGTCCAAAGGCAGGTCCATTTTTAGTTTTCTGAGAAAAATTTCATACTGTTTTCCACAGTGGTTGTACCAGTCTGCAATCCCACCAACAATGGATTAGGGTCCCCTCTTCCCCACAACCTCTCCTACACTTGTTGTTCGTTGCTTTGTTTATGATGGCCATTCTGACTGGTATAAAGTGGTATCTCATTGTGGCCAAGTATTTTAAGTGGACCTTAGAGATTCTGGTGATATTTTCAGTGGTGTATGGTTTGTGTGTGTTAGGAACACATGCATAGTTTTAGGGATGAGTCTTTTCCTCCCCTCCTGTTGAGTGGTTTTATAGTTGCCATCATATGTTGTCCTCTGCTCCCTCTCCTCCCTCAGCTCAAAAACAAATCTTATGATATTTTGCTGTTCTTGTTCTGTGGTCATATCTGGGACTCTCGGGTCCAGCTTGGCTTGGAGTCTGTGTTCTTCACCTTCCCAGGCCTGCAGCTTCCGGTGAAGTCAGGGCACCTCCTCCAGTTGGTAGCTGTCCTTTTCAGTTTTTCATTAAGAGGAAGGAACTCAATCTTCAAGTCTGGCTTGGAACTATAATCTTGCAGAAGGCAAAACTCCTCTACTCTATAGGAATTGGATTCCTGGCTTCCTGTGATGGGCTGCAGCCAATGTGTGCTCCTGTCACCACTGTGTACACTTGTATGTTGTCCACTGAGATAATTTTCTTATTCTGAGTGCAGCTGTGGTTTGTTGGTTTTCTCTTTTTATATTTTACTACTCATTGTAAGCTCCCAGAAGATAGAAATGGTCAGTTTTGTTAATCATTGTATCTCTAGAAATCAGAACAAATCCTGACAGATAGAAGGAATCCAATACATAGTCATTAGATAAATAATTGAATAAGATGCTTTGTTTTGAAAAAGAGTGTGTCAAAGTGTGAATTTAGTAGTAATTCAGAAGGGGAATTTGCTATGTTCTCCAGGATATGTATTTTAAACTGCAAAGTGTGGTAGTATTCCAATATTAACCTCTAATTTTCTCATTAAAAAAACAAGACCACACACACACATAAAAACTTTCCACTCTTTGTTTCATTTCTGATTTACTTTATAATTTTATAAAGATTATAATCAGATTTTTTTGAAGTTTGCAGAACTGCTATTTATTTACAGTTACTCCCATTTCTTCACCCTGGAATGGCTGCATTTACCAAGGGGTCCCCAGCTTCACAAAGAAAGGGATTGGCCCCCCTTTTGGACTTCCTGTCCTGACAGGGGGTCCAGCAGGGCTGAGGGAGCTGGGAAGTCTCTGGACTTAGGACAGGCAGGCCACACTGTGGTGACCCAGCTCTCTGGGGTCTGTCTGGTTTCTCCCATAGAGAAGCAGAAGCTGCTGGCATTGCCCACTTGACTCCTTTCACATGCTCCAGGGCTGGGAATGAACTATTCTGAGCTAAAGCTGGAAAGAAACTTATTAGACAAGCTCTCCAAGCAGCCATGCTGAGGCAGTGGACAAAGCAAAGGCCCTCTCACCTGCCACTGTGGTAATTATGTCACATGCAGGAGCCTTTCAAAGATGGAGGCTTCTGCTCAACAGCACTGGAAAGAGGACAGAGAAGATGAGTGAGAAGAACAGTGTGGGGGCATGGTTGCTTCTTCCCAATGCAACTGCGCCTTCCGGATGGCAGGCGCATTCTGTCCCCACCATCCTGTCAGCTGTTGGCACCAGCTTTCTGCTGCAGCTGCTGAAACCAGGGAAGCCTTCCAGGTGTCTTGAGGCACTCCACTGCTGACAGCAGCTGGGACTAGTAGCTGGCCTGGGCCATTTGTTGGCCATAGCAGAAAGCTGGTCTAGGGTGCAACCCAGCCCGTCCAACATAGTGTCCAGCATTTCCTTACTTAGCTCTGTGGTGACAGCTGAGACGAAGGGTTTGTCCTTGAATAGACTGGGATCTTCTTGAATCTTCATCTGGAGCAGGCAGGTGGGGACAATCATGTGGCTGATGCTGTTGAGGCTGTTTTGATGTCCACTCTCCAGTCCAGGTTGACCAGGCATGGCTGAAAGATCAGCTTCGCTTGGGTTTCAGGTCTCCAAGCAGATATGTGTTCCAGGATGACTTTTGTCAGCAGATTTTTGAGGTCCTGGTGGAAGTTTTCAGGAAAGAGAGCCAGAATTGTCTTGGCGAAGGTCAGGTCACTAAACGCTGCCAGCCTGGTGAGGTGGTGCAGAGCCTGGAGCAGTTGCTCTGACTCCTCCTTGGTCACAGACAAGCTGGAACATGTGATATCCAAGAGATTTTTCAAGTCAAGGACTGAACTGGAGAAGCTCTCTTGGCATAACTGTCTGACAGCATCTTTGGAGGAAGCCTTCAGCAGACTCTGGAGTGCTGCAAAGGTTTCTGCAGTCAGTGCAGGCATTGTCATGTGACCAGATTCTTTTCAGTAGCAAAATATTTCTGTAGAATGAGAATTCCATTCAAAACTTTTAATTTTATGAGGTTTTTTGAAAAGATCATATTTGTTTATTTTTGAGAGAGAGGAGAAGGGAGGGAGAAAGAGAGGGAGAGAAACATCAGTGTGTGGTTGCTTCTTGTGTCCCCAGCTGGGGACCCGGCCTGCAACTCAGGCATGTGACCTGACTGGGAATCAAACCAGTGATCCTTTGGTCCACAGGCAACACTCAATCCACCGAGCCACACCAGCCAGGGCTAATTCTACAGGTTTCATTCATTCATTCGTTTTTTTAAAAGTAATTAATTAATTAATTCCTCACTGGAGGGCATTTTTTTCATTGCAAAGAGAGAGAGAGGGAGAGAGACAGACAGGAAGGGAGGAAGGGAAAGAGGAAGGGGGATAGATAGAGTGGGAGAAATATTAATGTGAGGGAAACATTGATTTGGTTGCCTTTTGTATGCGCCCTGACCTGTGATGCTTCAGTCCATGGGACAATGCTTCAACCAACTGAGCAACACCCTCTAAGGATATCAGGTTTTTATGGTACCAGTTACCAATTTCTGGGTAACAAACTACCCCACAACTTATTGAGTTAAAACAATAATTTTGTTATTTTTCTCACAGTTTTGTGGGACAGGAATTCAGATAAAACACAGTGAGGAAGATTCATTGATGCTCCATGATGTCCTGAGACGCCCTCATTTGGAGATGGCTGGCAGTCTCTCTATTCCTGTAGTTTCAGGACCTCCCTACAGCATGGTGGCCTGAGGGTCATTGGAATTCCCGTGCAGTGGCTGAGGGCTCCAACAAGAAATGGATGCTGTTTTCCCTTAAGGGCTTGGGCGTGGCTTCAGTCTTGTGATAGTCTGTTGGTCAAAGCAGTTGTGGAATCTGCTAGAATGTAAGGGGAGGTGACAAAGACCCCACCTGTAATGGGAGGAGTGTTAATTTATGACCATCTTTAATCCACTGCATTGAATATTAGAAAAATATCTTCATTAGAAGGAATCTCAGAGGTAGTGTCTTTTAACTTGCTATGTTCTGGATGATGCTTTTCTAAATAACAACCCCAAGAAAAGCAGTTGAACATTTGCCCAAACATTTTCAAAGAGATGAAAGTAGGCCTTTGTTATGGTGTTAGACCAGCCTCTGGTGTGAACTTAAAGTGAACCATAAACATGGACAGTTGATGTGATCACAAAGAATCCTCATTTTTTAGTTAATCTTTTTGAAGTTTATAATATAAAATTTCAAATAAAGCAGCAGTTATGGTGATACCCAGGGAAAATGGGAATCTCTAGGATGCTGAAAATCTAACCATGGACTAATGGGAACTAGTTGACTTCAGACATGAAAATCCCTTTTGCATGTTCAGAGATAATATCAGGTAGCTCTTGACTTGTTCTGCCAGGAGTTCAGATATTCTTTTACAGGTAGCATAAATCTATTAAAGAATTTTAGTGAGGGAGTGACAAAATAAATTAAGGCTTTTAAGAGGATCATTCTGTAGGCATTGTAGAGAATTAATTAGGAAAAGCTAGGCCCAATTATAAGTCTATTCATTAGTCCAGAGTGTGAACTAAGCATAGGCCATTAGTAATGGAAATGAGGAGACAGATTGGAGAGTTATTTAGGAGCTGCACTCTAAAGGGTTTGGTGATAGTGTAGATGAGGGTGTCAGGAAGAGGGAGAGAAGAGTCTAGGTTGTGTTGGGTTTGAAGAATACTAAATAGATGGTGATGTGTTAACTAAATAAAAAGTGGGAGGAAAAGGTTTAAAAAGAAAAATGATGAGTTTGATTCTTTTTCTTAATCATATAATGAAATGCATAGATCTTAAGTGTACAGTTCAGTCAATTTTGATAAATGCATATACTCATGTAACACATAGCCCTATCAAGATATAGAGCATTTCTCTCACCCTCAGAGTTCTCTTGTGCACCTCCCCAGTCAATCCCCTCTCCAGAAGCAACTGTTATTCTGAGTTCTATCACCATAGATTAAGTTTGCCTGTGTTAGACTTTCTGAATGGAAGGATGCACTGGGTACTATTCTGGGCCTGGCTTTTTTCACTCAGCATAATGTTGAGATCAATCTATGTTGTTATGTGTATCAATAATTCATCCTGTTTTATTGCTGAGTACTTTTCTCTTAATATGACTATACTACAGTTTATCTCTTTGCCTATGAACACCTGGGCTGGTTTCAATTTTGACGCTGATATAAATAAAACTTTTCAAACATTCTTATACAAGGCTTTTTGTGGACATTTATATTTCTCTTGGATAAATACTTAGAAGTGGGATTGCTAGGTTTAAATTTAAAAAGTACTTAACAGTTTTCAAAGTGTTTGTTCCATTTTATACTTCACCTGAAAAATATGAGTGTTTCCCTTATTTCTCATCTTCAACAATGCTTGGTATTGTCAGCCTTTTTCATTTTAGCTGTTCTGATGGGTATGTAGGGGTAGCTCATTGTGGTTAATTTAAATTTTGCTGATGATTTATGATGTTGAGACCTTTTCCCTGTGCTCACTGGCCATTCATATCTTTTGTTAACTATCCACTTGAGTTCTTTAAAAAAATTGTGTTGTCTGTTTATCACTGAATTGTAGAAGTTCTTCATGTATTCCAGATACAAATCACTCATCAGATATGCACATATATTGAGAATACTTCCCTTGATCTGTAGCTTGTTTATTCCTATTCTTAATGAAGTGAAAGTTAAATCCTGTATCCTTGGAAAGCACTTGCAAATGGATGAACTCTTCCTTCTTCAATTTATGTTCCAGTCTTCCTGATCAAGTACTCTAGCATCCAATCTCATATGTACACTCCTGGCTTTTGCTGATACATGCTGGGTATGTTCTATGGTACTCCTGCAGGGTATAGTCCCTTCACTCCTTCTCAGTCCCAACAGGTTAAACTGTGACTTAATTCCAATTTTGAGAGTAAGTAAATTTTGGGATTAAAATCTTGGTAGCCAGAAAGCAGACATTGAGGATCCACACCTCTGCAGGGATGGGTGTGGGTGGGTAAAGTGTATTGTGGGAGAGCAGGCTCTGCATAATCTCCAAGCAAGGAGGAGTGAGAGGTTAGCTCTTCTTGAGAAGGAGTGGGTTACTTCTACAGGCTCAGAGGGTTCAAATGAATCTGGGGACTCAAAGTTTTCAGAGACATAATCCAGATCATTCCATCTCATTTTTCCCATCTGGGCCTAGCTCTGCCTTCATTAGTAACTTATCCTTCATTGAACTTTGGATATTCTGACCATTAAATTTTGGACCTGATCCCCAGTTTCTCTGTCTTTCCATAGGATATGAGAGTCTGTGTAATACCAAGGAGGGCCCTGGCTGGTGTAGCTCAGTGGATTGATGGTGTGCTGTGAACCAAAGGGTTGCCAGTTTGATTTCCAATCAGGGCACATGCCTGGGTTGTGGGCTGGGTCCCTAGTACGGGGCATGTGAGAGGCAATGCACATTGATATTTCTCTCCTCTTTCTCCTTCTCTTCCCCTCTAAAATCTTTTAAAAATATTTTTTATTCGTTATGCCATTACAGTTGTCCCATTTCTCCCCCTTCATTCCTTTCCACCCTGCACACCCCTCCCCCCATTCTCCCCCTTTAGTTCATGTCCATGTGTCACAAGTTCTTTACTTTCTACATTTCCCACACTACTCTTGCCCTCCTCTAATCTATTTTCTACCTACTGTCTATGCTACTTATTCTCTGTACCTTCTACCCCCTTCTCCTCCTCCCACTCCCCTGTTATTAACCCTCCTTGTGATCTCCATTTCTGTGGTTCTGCTCCTCATCTAGCTGTCCTCTTAGTTTGCTTTTGTTTTAGGAGTGGTTGTTAATAACTGTGAGTTTGCTGTCATTTCACTGTTCATCTTTTTTAATCTTCTTTTTCTTAGATAAGTCCCTTTAACATTTCATATAATAAGGGCTTGGTGATTATAAACTTGAACTTGATCTTATCTGAGAAGCACTTTATCTGCCCTTCCATTCTAAATGAAAGCTTAGCTGGATAAAGTAATCTTGGATGTAGGTCTTTGGATTTCATGACTTGGAATACCTCTTTCCAGCCCCTTCATGCCTGTAAGGTTTCTTTTGAGAAATCAGCTGACAGTATGATGGGAACTCCTTTGTAGGTGACTGTCCCCTTATCTCTTGCTGCTTCTAGGATTCACTCCTTCATTTGAATCTTGGCTAATGTAATTATGATGTGCCTTGCTGTGTTCCTTTTTGGGTCCAACTTCTTTGGGACTCTCCGAGCTTCCTGGATTTCCTGGAAGTCCATTTCCCTTGCCAGATTGGGGAAGTTCTCCTTTATTATTTGTGCAAATAAGGTTTCCACTTGTTGCTGTTCCTCTTCCCCTTCTGGTACCCCTATAATTCGGATGTTGGAGCGTTTAAAGATGTCCTGGAGGTTCCTAAGCCTCTCCTCATTTTTTTGAATTCTTGTTTTCTCATTCTTTTCTGTTTGGTCATTTCTTTCTTCCTTCTGGTCTACTCTATTGATTTTAGTTCCAGTTTCCTTTCCATCACTATTGGTTTTCTGTGCATTTTGCCTCATTTCACTTAGTGTAGCCTTCATTTTTTTTCATCTAATTTGCAACTAAAATCAACCAGTTCAGTGAGCATCCTGGTCACCAGTGTTTTGAACTATGCATCTGATAGGTTGGCTATCTCTTGGTTGCTTAGAAGTATTGGCTCTGGGGCTTTGCACTGTTCTTCTGTTTGAGCCATAATGTTTTGGTCTGTTTGCACTTGTTATGTGTGAGGAGCAAAAGTTTAGGCATTCACCAGGGCAGCTCAGCCCAGTTGCTGGACTGTGACTGGAGGCAGGGTCAGAGAGGGAGAAATGGTGTTTGTTCTTCTCTCTCTTGGATTTTGGTCCTTTGTGCTGCTTCCCACAAGCAAATCGGGCCCCTCTGGTGCTGGTTCCTGGGTGGATGGGCTTG